AATGATTTTGCAGTATTACTGTCAAGAGAAATGAGAAGCTGGTTGCATTTAGAGTTCAAAGGGTTAAAGGTTGTTATGTTTAATTCTTGTCAATCAGGATTGTCTTAAATCTGTCACTGATATAATGTGAAATTGGTAGTATACGGGCTGAAACACATAACTTGTAACTAAAGCAGTCCTATTCTGCTGAAATGATCTTATCTGTTTTTTTTTCCGCCAAATTAATGAAGAGGCCTGATGGCTGTATTCTTTTTTTGTGAAAACTGATATCCAGATACTTCACATAAGTTTATAACCTGACAAAATTTGATATTTGATATCAGTATCAATAATTAACCAATTGAGACAATCCCTCTTGTTTTTCTTTTTCTATAAGGCTAAGTCTCTATTTTGTTAACTCTTTCGAGACTAAAAATGTTCAGATTTCCATATTTCCACAAGAATTTCAGACTCCATACAAACCCCCGTTAGTCTTAATACTTCTTCAAAAATAGTTATTCAATTTCACATAAGTTATAGAATTCTAAATCTTCACCCTCTTTATGAACTTTTGTCTTTGCTTTCTCCTTTTTTGTTTCAACCAACTCTTGAATCTTTTTCTTTGTATCATCATACTCCTTCTTGTGGAAGAGATGCTTGAGCATCGGTGCTCCTCCAAGATACAGCAAGTCTGAAAAGCAGGCCAGGTTTAAAAGAGTCCAGGTGAAGCTATCCGCTGTATGCCCTGCTAGTGCAGTCATCTGTATTTCTTTAACAAGTTCATTCTGTGGTGCTGCAAATCAAACAGTTAAAATCATTTCATTTTGGAATTTTTGAGGGTAGAAGTACTGGTAGATCGAGGGAGTATTTGGGGGTTCAGTGACATCTTTACAATGGTTCACTGACATCAGCAAAAAATGCACAGTCTTAATTAATAAATAAGGTAAAGGATTTAATTTGTAAGAAGAGCATTACAAGAATCCGCAACTGACGATTGTTTCAGCTCAGACTGGAAATATCTTGATACAAAAGAGTAACAATTTGAAAAATAAATATTAAATAAATAAAAAGTGAATCATTAAAACAAATGACTTAGCTTCAGAGTATCAGAAATCCTACTTATCAAGAAATTAAACCTCAAAATCTTCTTAGGAACATTATCAGCAAACCCCACAAATGGTAACCATTTTTAGTTCTCATTTGAACCTCCTCTTTACAAGTCAAGGAGGATCAAAATCTTAGTCCACCACATTGTATCAGAGGATTATGGTTGATGCTCTCTCTGCCACAGTTGACAGGTTTGTAATTTATCTTTAAGCCACCAAATTCATTATCAAGCACACAATTAATGAGAAAGGATAAAAACGTAACCTAGGAATAATATAATATATGCAACTCTCCAACTAACACTGTATGAAATGTGAAGGTTAAGTGCAACGATTTCATTAAGGGCCAGGCACCGGGCAAATTGACCAGTTGTGAGAACAGTTTTGCCCACCTGGTTTGACGATCTGGAGGAAAATTTATCTTATAAAGAAGTTCAGTTCAAAAAGTTTTGCCTGCCTGTGAAAACCAGTTGCCCTCCTGCTAAAAACATTAATAAAACCTGTACAGGAGCTTATTGGCCCACCCTGCTCAAGCTTATAATGGTTTCCATGTAGCATGAAGCGACAATGAGTATTACTACTCCCCCTGGATGGGATGTAAGTCCATCACAAGGTTACCCCCCGTATTTGGTCAGGCTTCCCTGACCATTTGCCAGTACTCATTTCTACTCCTGGGTGGAGAGAGGCATGGTGTGGTTAAGGTGTTTGGCCCAAAAACATAACACAGTGTCCTGGCCAGCTCTCAAACCCAGACCTCTGGACCTAAATTCCAGTGGATGCATGCACACTGAGATCGCTGCTAAAGGAAAGGCAAATGTTATTTTGTCATTTTACTGCGTGGTTCGTCCAAGCTTCGGCTGACTGAAACGCTTTCTGTGTTTGTACTCCATTTTTTTAACAATTTGGGAATGAGCTGAGGTCTAGTACTGACAGTGGCTAATTTTATTTTTGCAAACGATCAATCTTGCGAGTGACAGGAGTGTACAGCTGTTTCGCTCTCTTTATAGCTCGTCAGCACTGCATAGACAACCACTCCTTTTAGACACAAATTCTTTGTTATGAGCGGTCATAACTTCCAAGGTGGACCAAAGTCTCTTTAATGCTCAGTCACCACACTACAAATTTGGGACTTGCTGCGATCAATCTTGAGGCTACTTTGAATGAAATTTGTCACTTTTTTTGACAAACAACCTCTTGATATCTATTTTTCTCCAGAACTCACTTGTACTTAACCTTCCAAATGCACTTCCTTTAGCGACGGCACCACTGTGCATGTCCAATGGCGTTACTGGTAAATCTATCGGTTTTTGCCTGTCAACAACAATTGGACATGCTGGTGAAATCTAAACTGAACTAGACGCATATCTGCGTAAACTCGGGCTTTCAATATCGCACATCTGGAGTTATCTTTGGGGGCTGCCATATTGCCATTGTTTCTGTCGTCACGTAATTTCATCATTGCCGGTCGCGAATGTCTACTTGTGTTTATTTTTGTCTGCTGGAGT